GGTTAAAGGCAGGGCTGGGGGCAGAGCTGAAGACGGGGCCAGTGTTTGAGCCTCACTTTCTGTCTCTGTCTGAACTGGTTAAAAAAGACTGCAAGATGTCGTCTGACTTCAGTAAAGCCCCGGCCAATCAGGACACAGCTCCACAGGTGAAGGAAGGAACTGGCCGCACCCCGTTGGTAGTGACGTTGGTGGATGATGTCACAGGTGTGTGTCAGAGCCCCGCCTCCACACCGCTGCAGGTTCAAACAGCTGGTGTTCAGGTGACACTGCCCCCTGCAGGAGGATCCCAACCAGTAAAATACAGCAGGAAGTCGGAGGAGGCGGAGCCATGGCAGTCAGATCATGCTGCAGCCAATGAGAAGCAGCAGCTGGGAGCCCAGGCATCGCTGCCAATCACAGTCTGATGATGTCACAGGTTTCACATCAATTTGCACAAAGATTTTTTTTTATTATTATGAAAGAATTTAATTTAACTTTTCACTGAGAGTTTTTATGAACGAGACGAAGGAAACGTCGCCGTCTTTTCTTTAGCTTTTTTACTCTGGTCCAGAACATTCCACTGCTAAGCTCCTAAAGATCTGGACCAGTGCTGGACCAGAACTGGACCAGATACTGGTATGTCCTTGAAGTCGAAGCTCTAAACAACATGAAGTTTATTTTTATTTTGACATACATTTCAGCACACAAACAGTTTTATTTTAAAAATGTTGTATTTCATTTCTTGACCAGCAGGGGCAGACATCTGTACCAGTTTTCTTAGTGGATTGAACAGGACATTTTATCTTAGCCACTGCAGTCGTTAGCTGCTAAATATAAACAGTTGGCATAATCAGTGCTACTGCAGCTGCTAAAGCTAACACATATATAGTAGTAGCATCTGTTGGCTTATCTGCTGTGTTGTTGCTTGGACAACGTCCTAGTGTTAATAGCTAGCTCCTGGCTACAGTGATGTTAGCTGTGGCTGTTAGCACCTCTGTAATGTTGATAGCAGCTGTTAGCCTAAGAAAACTTCAGCAGTAGAAGATGTCCTGTCTTTACTCAACTAAACAACTTGACCTTTTGACCCCTTTGCTGCATCATTTGGAGTTTATGCCCCCTACTGATGAGAAGGAAGAATTGCAACATATTTAAAAAAACAGAAGTCTGTTCAGTTTTTGTTATACAGTGCAGTTTGTTTACACTAACAGATGGTGGCGCTGTTCAGATCCATATCTGCTGCTGGGTTTTCAAATTTATATATATATATTTTTTGCTGACTTAACCAAAAAGTCTTAAAAATGTGGCGATAAAGGAACAGTTTGGTTGTTTATGTTAACTCAGCCTGGACCAAATCTCATGGAGAAAATCATTGATTTTAGCTCAGAGACACAGCACTTTTTGGTCCACTGGTTAAAACTCAGTTTACACTGTTATTTTGTGACTTCACTGTAACTTAGTGACACAACATGACCACACGAGGCAGCAGTGGACCAGCAGCTGCTGAAGAGCTAAGTCTGATAACTCTGACAAAAACACAGAACTTTTCTAAAAAGGTCTAAATGTGCACTTTTTTTATGGTTAAGCATGTGCTGTTCAAACCTTTAGGGCAGGACTAGCAGAGATTTCATTAAAATGACTTTTGTTTCAGATAAAAGTCTTTGAACCAAAGATATTTTTTATTCTTATTTTATTTGTGTCTTTCATGGCGCCTCAGTAATTTTATTCTGTTAACACTGGAAGAGATGAGACCAACCTGAGGTCTTCAAGTCTCCACACAGACTGGTCACGTGGAGCCGGTCTTTATTTACACTTAATGTTCACCTAGTGATGCTGGTGTTAAAAGTTAGCACAGTGAGCGCCAGGTAGTTAGCTTTGAAAATCTGAAGCTCAACCAAAGCAGTCAACGTTCGCGTTCATGACGTCACCGTTTATGTTCGTGACGCTTCCGTCAACACAAGTCGTTTATAAAAGTTGTATTTTTGTCACAGTCACGTGTTGATCAATGTTCATTAGACAACCGGGTGTTGTGTCGAAACCCCGCCCTGTTTTGTTACGTCACTGGTTCAAGGTTTTATTCGGACGCGTCTGTTTTTTAACTGGAGAAGTTTTTTTTAAGTTTCTGAAAAGACTGAAGATGACGTTTTGTTCACATTTTATTCTGAATAAAAGTACTTTTTCCAAACGTGATGCGTTTTTGGCTTTGTGGGCGAAATAAAATAACGAGAAGTAAGGCGATTTTTATAGATTTTTTTTTTCATTTGTCGAATTAAATTCTGCTACATCTATTGACGTAGTAGTAACCCGACCAATCAGTTCGGTTACCGTGCGCTCTGACTGCACAAGTGCCACCGTGCACCTGCGGAGGAGAGGACGGCAGCCCGTGCAGGTCAGGGAACCGTCCCTCCTTTATGTTTGTTTGCTTGTATGTTTGTTTATCGGGTTAGCGGTTCATACAAACAGCGTCCTAAACAGAAACGCTGTACATCCGCCTATCGTAGCCGTTAGCTTGAGCATAGCAGATGTTAGCGTCTGACCGGAAGTGGCTTTTTTTTACATAAATATTTAATAAAACATTTTTAAAAATATATTTTAAAAGGTTTTTAATATTTTAAAAAGGGTTGTTTTGTCAAATAATGTAAAAATAATACATTTTGGAAAAAACTAACCAAACTACCAACAGGTAAAAACAGATGACAATGTTAGCTTAACCTTCACGTCACGTATTTCTGACGCTGTTTTGAGACTGAGCATTTAAATGCTTAATGCCTCACATTTAAAATAAAGATTTTTTTCAACCAGTGGCTCTTTATGCCTTAAATGACCTGGTTTGGCTAACAATCCTATTAAGTCTAACGTTTTACATTTAAATTGAAATTTAAGTGTTTGTTTTGTTATTTTTTTGAAGATTTGTAACTACTTTGTTCATAAGCTGCTGTTTTTATATTAACCACAACATTTTTTTTAAATTACTGTTTTCATTGGGTTCGTTTTTAACCTGCTAGTTCTTTTTAACTTGCTAGATCCTAGTTATTTTATTCTTTGACTAATGGTTTAGACTGTGACTGGGTCGTTCTTTAGCTGGTATTGGTAATGATGAAAATTGGAATGATGATGATGATGATGATGATGAATAGTCTTCCTCTGCTCATGCCTGTCTGGACTCAGGATGCAGATCTTACTGCTGAAGCTGATCGGCCTGCTAGGACTGTTTACGCTGATGTTGGCCGGTGTGCTGCTGCCAGTGCGCCTTCTGCTGGTGGATCGTGGCAAAGTAGAGAAGTACAGCAGAGCGCTGTCTCTTTGCAACTCTTTCGCAGGAGGCGTGTTCCTCGCCACCTGCTTCAATGCTCTGCTGCCAGCTGTCAGACAGAAGGTGATGTCATCAGCAAACAGTGTGACCAATGTAGTGGTGTGTTACTGTGTGGCTACTTAGTTTAGCTAGTACTGAATTACGTACAAATGACATGTGTATTAACAGTTCCTCCTCCTCCTCCCCCCTCTATCTCCCCCTCAGGTGCTGCAGCTGTCGTCTTCCCTTCACCTCAGCTCTGATTTTCCATTGGCTGAGACTGTGATGATGTTTGGTTTCTTCCTCACTGTCTTCGTGGAGCAGAGTGTCCTGACCTTCAGGAAGGAGCCGCCCTCCTTCATCCATCTGGACACCTTCGGAGCCGATGCCTGCTCCGAGGTAGGCAGCGACTCAGAGAATGAGACACCCTTCATCTCTCCATCCAGGGGAGTAGCTGTGGGGGGCGGGGTCTGTGGTCATCGCAGCTACGGACCTTTAGGTGGAGCACAGCTCTCGGGGGCGGGGCCCATGCGGCTGGCCAGTCTAGTCCTGGCTCTCTCCGCCCACTCGGTCTTTGAAGGGCTGGCCCTAGGTCTGCAGGAGGACAGGACTAAACTGGGCGGGCTCTTCCTGGGCGTGGCCATGCACCAGACGTTGGCTGGCGTTGCCCTGGGCGTCAGTGCAGCCAAGTCATCACTAGGTCTAGGGAATTCCACCAAGCTGGGAGTGGCCGTCAGTCTGATGATTCCACTCGGAGCTGTGGTTGGAATCACTGTCCAATCGGTGGAGACACTGGCAGGGGGCGTGGCCTCCCTACTGCTACAGGGATTGGCTGCTGGAACATTTCTGTTTGTGCTTTTCTTTGAAATCCTGTCCAAAGAGCTGGAGCAGAATCAGGACCGGCTCCTCAAAGTCTTCTTTCTGGTTCTGGGGTACTCCACACTGGCCATGCTCCTCATCTTCATCCACGGCTGATGGAACAGGAAGTGATGATTAACTAAATCCTGTCAGGGACAACCATCAGAAAAGGAGGAGAGCATGCTGGGAAGTCACTCCTGCTGTTGACTTTTTGAATATGAAACTATTTGATGAGTGACATCACAGGTGGGAGGGTTCCTGACCACAGAGAAATTTGACCTTTGACCTCATCATCATGTTAATAGCACAGAGTAACAGTAGTCCCGAGTCCCTAACCCTATATCCAATATGATGTTAGCTGTTTGCTATAAGTGCGCCTGCTGCAAACACCTATTCATACAGCAGGGGGCACTCTCATATACAAACTTAAATGTCCCTTTAAGATAAATAAAATCTTTATTATTGTGACAAAGAAAGGTGTTTTGGGGTCTTTGAATTTATCATCTGCGGACCAGGACAAGACCAAGGAACCAGGGCAAGAACCTGGACCAGGACCATGACCTGGAACTAAGAGTGTTTCTGTGTTCCAGGCTAACAATTATGTCTCTCAATTTTCCTTCATTTGTTTATTTGGACAAACAATTTAATTTACCTTTTTTCTGGTCACCTTTTTTCTAATTCTCCACTGGTATAAACTGCTGGTTTTTTATGCCAGACCAACATTTAATCTAGCAGCAAACCTTTACACTAATCTTTGTTGTAGTAGTGTCCAGCAGGTGGAGCTGCAATCCTGCATCTATCCTGCAGGACCTGCAGATGGTCCTGATCCACTCTGAGAACTTAATCCCGCCTGCAGGTCTTTAATCCCGTCTCCTCAGGTCCGTTGTCCTTCCATCTTGGTCCCAGCATCAGCATGGAGGAGCTGCTGTTGCCCAACGCCGAGGAGGAAGTCCGCTCCGACCAGGGATCCTACGCTCCTGGTCCACGGGTCAGGAGTACGGGGGAATGTTTCATGTCCTTCCTGAGGTCTTTGGTGAAGAAGGAACTACAGAGGAGTGTGAGGAACTTCTGTCGCAGGCACGGACTCTTGACGCTGTCTGTGGTTGCCGTGGTGACGGGCTGCCTTCTGGGCTTCACGCTGAGAGGAACCCAGCTGTCCACACAGGTACGAAGAAGAACTACAACTAACTTCAACCCTAACCATTGGCTAGCTTTTAGTCAGGTTAGCTTGTCTTGCTAACAGTTGAATATCTTTTACCTTATTTTTACTAAAACCAACTTGATCCTATGTTCAATGATGTTTGGCTAACTGTTAGCTAGGCAGTTGTGGATTATTTAAACCATCTTGGCTAAATGTTAACCTTTACCAATAACTTGGCATGTAACATGGTTACATGTCAGCTATTAACCCATATCTTTGGCTAACTTTAATCTGTTTTTATAAATGATATTATGGCTAACCAGTCCCTTATTGATTCGTTTTTGGCTAACTTTTAGCTCTGTGCCTAATGGATACATTTTAGCTACTTTCACCATTTTCCTTAGCTCCTTTACTTTGACTTAAGTCTAACTTTTAGTTCATTTAACTTTTACAGCACATACCCAGTCTGTGTTATATCTTCCGGTAAGTTAGATGTAACTCTGAGCTAACATTTAGCTGTCTCTTAACTAATATCTTTTAGGCTAAAATATATTTCTCATTTCCTGGAGAGTTGCTGATGAGGATGCTAAAGATGCTCATTCTTCCTCTCATCACCTCCAGGTACGTTAACATTAGCAGCTATGCTAACATTAGCAGCTCTGCTAAAACACTAGGAGTACAGTCTCTGACATGAGTTTGTCCTGTTGTCCTCCGTCCGTTGTCCCCGTCTGTTCTTTTCCGTCTGTTGTCCTCTGTCTGTTGTCCTCTGTCTGCGGCCCAGTCTGATGTCAGGTCTGTCCTCCATGGAGTCCAAGGCCTGCTGCCGTATGGGGGTCCTGACCGTCACCTACTACCTGTGGACCACCTTCATAGCTGTGGTGGTGGGAATCGTCCTGGTCCTGATCATCAAACCAGGCGTGGGCACAGAGGTGGAGAGCAACCGTTTGGGAGGGGGGCCAGTGATGACATCAGCGGATGCTCTGCTGGACCTCATTAGGTCTGTCTGATCACATGACTGTCACATGATTCTTGTCACATGACCCTCACGCTCACACCCAGCACTCCTGGTTCTGTCCTGTCCTCCCCAACTTCTCTCCTCCCTCTCCCCCTCCTCTGTTTCCTCCTCTTCCTCCTGATGGAGGTGTTGGGTTAAATCCCGTTATCCTGCTCTGATGAGATTATTTGAACTAATCCAGACTCGGGGGGTCACATGGTTTTAAAAAAGCCCCCCCCGCCCCAACCCACCCCTCTGTTTTGTGAATGGCTTCTTCAACAATGAGCAGTGGAGTGATGTCACTTCCTGTTTCCTCCACAGAAACATGGTTCCTTCAAATCTGATCGAGGCTACATTTCAGCAGGTGAGAGACTCCAGACCTGGATAAGGTAGTCCCTGGCCAGGGAAACCTGGACCAGGACGACTACATGTGACCATGTAGACCTGAGACAAACTCGGACCAAAGACCAAAGAGTTGAACCCCAGTCAGACGTGGACCTAAGACTGACGTGGACCTGGGAACGCTCCTAGACCTAAAGACTTTTTCTCTGCAGTATAAAACAGACCTGGTTCCCATCCTGAAAATCCCAACCAGGACCATCCAATCTGACTTTGTTTACGTGGTTCCCGATGAGTCGGATCCTCAGGGTCGGACCGTCTACCTGGAGCTGACTCCGCCCCCTGAGATCACCTACAAGACCAGTCCAGGAACTAGTCAGCAGATGAACGTCCTCGGCATCGTCATCTTCTCTGCCACCATGGGTCAGTTTCCTCCAGTAGGAGGCGTGTCGCTCCCTAAATTTAGCTTTTCGCGGCAGACTTTTAGCTAGCTCCAGGGGAAGTGAACGCCTCTTAAATTTCCATTTTTGCTATAATAATTAGTGTTGTTTGCTAACTTTTAGATCAGTCATTAGCTACCACAGTGTTATTGATCTTTGAGCTACTTTTGAGTTACATTAAAGTCATAAACTTGTCCATATCGTTAGCTACACCAACGACGCTGCCTCGTCTTCACAGGTCTGTTGCTGGGCAGGATGGGGGAGCGCGGTGCCCCTCTGGTCAATGTGTGTCAGTGCATTAACGAGTGTGTGATGAAAATCATCAATGCTGCAGTTTGGTGAGTTTCACTTTCACTTTCACTTTCTTTTTCAAACCATTTCCATTTACAGGCCAGAGTTGACCAATCACAGTTGGCGTATCATTTACTAACCAGAGCTCATTCTTTAGTCGTGTTTTTTTAGGCTAATTACCGAAAAATAATCTGCACAAAATAATTAAGCCTAGAATTAGTTAACAATTGGAAAAATGCTTCAAATTAGCCTTCATGTAGCTACACATGCTAAACATGTAGCCACTGTGGCTAAAGGCTGCGTCATCAACACCTTCAAACGGCAGCACGTGAGTAGAAGAAAGCAGAGACTGTGAATTAGTGTGGATTAGTGTGGATTAACGTGGATTACAGACCGTTAAGACTGTTGTGGTTTTGACCTGATGACAAAACTGCTGTGAGGCTCCGCCCCTTTGGCAAACTGCTGCTAAAATGAAAGTTAGCTTAGCAGTGTAGACTAATAGACTGGAGACAAAGAAAACTAACTAACCATTTAACTAACTAGCTAATTAAGCTAAGAGATAGCTAAGAGATAGCTGTGAGTGATGCAGTGATGTCATCAGGTCTTGTCACC